AGGAAGCTGCATTTGAACTTGAATACATCCCAGAGGCTGAGAGGAATTTCACACAGCAGGTACATACAGCTGGGGGCATACCGGGGGAGCAGTTATGAGCAGCCAGCTCAGAAGGCACTTCTTACAAGTATCTTTAGAGATACGTCCACTTTATCTCATAAGATCTTTGCGGCACATGAAAACCTTACTTCTGGTTGATTTCTCTGCTTCCTGCCGTATGTTATGTTCTTAGAAACTAAAAATCGCTCTGAAGACAGATGCTCAACAATTCAGAGAACTCGAATCTTACACGGTTGTCAGTGTCCATAACACACAGTAGATATTGCTGTAGAACCTTTCATGCAGCAAAAATTTAAAGTGTAGTTTTATTATTTACCTGGCTCACTTTCTATAACAGATTTTAGTGGTAGGAAGCCTTCTGGTTTTCACCACAAGTTATTTCAAACCGTTTGCCATGGTAAATTCACTTCCTCTTCCTTTTTTTGCATAGTTAAACTTATCTGAGACATCAATATGGTTACCCCATATTTTAACACACCAGAAATATAATATATAAAGGTAATTCATTGATGTGCACACCAAAGTTTAATTTTTCAATGCTATTTTCCACTGACCACTCTGAGTCTAGTATTCTACATCATAAATATATCTGGTGATAGCTGAGTTAAATGGATGCTCCTTCTCCCTCTCCTCTTGGTTTAAAGCCTGTCTAACAAGCATTACCAGTTTGGAACTCCAGAAATTGATTAGCATCTGCATAACTGCAGCCTGGGCACTCCACCAGCTGTGTTTTGTCATAGAAAAACATTCCTGGTTCCCTCCCCCAAACTCCACTCCTCCTTATGCTGCCTTTTCACTACTTGAACTTCACATCCCCAAATTTCCTGAGATCTCTTGGGTTGATGTTATCTTTATATCTTGCAATAAATCCCGACATTTGATTTCATCATATCTTTCTTGCCAGGGTAAGTTAATATGTTCCCTCAAGCAAATAAGAGACATCCTATTAGACTTTCTTTATCAACGTCAGTGTGGTCTAAGGGAGAAGGATTCTGAACCAGGAGATAGAAGATTTCAATTCCAGCACCAGCTTTTTTTATAACTGGTGATGTGACCTTGGAAAAGCAATTTAAGTCCTCTGTACTTCCAGCATGTAGTTTCCCGACTGTAATAAATATTATAAATCCATTCTGTCCTCATCATTTTTATCATCAAAGAACATTTATCAAATGCCTAGTTGGTGATGGCACTGTCGGGGGAAGAGGGAGAATCTCCCTCTGCCCTTTCCCTTAAGGTTCTTATGGCTGGCCAAATAATCAACAAGACAGGTTA